CCCTTCTTTTCCACTCTCCTCTCAAGAGTTTGGACGTCCATGCACATGCACCTGGCATGATTTTCAAGCCACAGGATCTGGAACTCAAACCACAGAGTCAGCTATATGGGATCCAGAGCCTTAATATCCATGCCACCTGCTGACCCACGTTTATTTTAATCTTTTTTTAAAATAATTATTTTATTTAACTTTATTTATTTTAATTTGACCAGAGAGGGACAGAGTGTATATGTGTGTGTGTGAGAGAGAGAGAGAGGAGAGAGAGAAAGTGAGAAAGTCAGCTGCCAGGTCCAGGAATCAAACTGCAGTCAGCCATGTGGGAGTCCATTGCCCTTAATCACCACGCCACTGGCCAGCCCCTATTTTAATCTTTTAAAATTGGTTAAGGCTTTTCTTGTAGTCAGATATATGTTCTATGTTGGAAAATATTCTGTGGGTACTTGATAAGAATGTGTATTCTGCTGTTATTGGATGGAATGTTTTGTATGTATCTGTTTAGTTTATTTGGTCTGTAGTGTTATTCAAGTCTGCTATTTGCTTTTTTTTTTTGGTCTGGATGATCTGTCCATTGTTAAAAGTGAGTTATTGATGTCTCCTACAATTATTGTATCACTATCTGTTTCTCCCTTCAGTTCTATTAATATTAACTTTAATTTAGGTGTTTTGATGTTGGGTGCATATATATTTAAAACTGTTATATGTCTTGAAGAATTGATGTCTTTATCATTATAGAATGACTTTCTTTATCTCTCATGACAGGGTTTGACTAAAAGTCAGTTTGTCTGATATAACTATAGCCACACCTGTTCTCTTTTAGTTATAATTTGCATGGAATATCCTTTTCCATGGCTTCATATTCAGTCTCTGTGTGCCATACACATAGTCCTTTACAGATTGACTTCACAGAGAAAGCCCTTCATCAGTCTGTCTGTCCCGAGTTTCTGGGTGAATTGGCCGGCAGGCAGGGTTTGCATGTAGGCAGACCTGGTGCCTTGGTCTGTGAGGGTAGGCTTAGAGCCTGGATTCTCTGGGGTAGACCTGTTAACTGGGTCGGCAGGTGGAATGCTGGAGCCTGTGCCTACAGAGGCTGACCTGGCTCTGAGATAGGCCTTAACCTGAATCTGCCAGGAAGCCAGCCTGATGCTGAGGTCTACTGAGGTAGGCCTAGAGCCTGGAACCTTGGAGGTGGGTCTGGAGCCTATGACAGGCTCTCTTAAAGACAGAAATGATCATATATGTGATAAGTCACTATTACATCTTGTACAGTATCTGAACTATGTCAGGTATTCATCAGGTTTATTTGTGTGAAGTCAAACTTCAAATATTGCTCAATGGCTTTGGTGTAATGCAGGAATAAAATTAAGACAGGTTACACTTTAAAAAATAATTATATAATTTGCTTACAGATAGACATTTTAAAATCAAGAGTATCCTGGGCCAACCTTATAGCTTAGTGGTCAAGAGAGCCATGTCCCACCAGGTGTAGCCGCAGTTTGAATCCTGGCCCTGGTGGCTTGAAAGCACACCTGGTGTGTGTGCACACATGCTTCAAATCCTGACAGAATGGAGAGAAGGGGTTGCAGCATGACTATGTTCCCCATTGCGGAGGAGGTGCTTTCTCTGCCCCAGCAAGCATCCTACACTCTGACAATTTAAAAAAAAAAAAAAGAAAAGAAAATACTCCAAGTATCCCACTGAGGCTACAACTCAAAAACAAATAATACTTCAAAAGTCAAAAGATTCAGATAAACATTTCTCCAAAGAAGATATACAAGTGGCTAACAATAATATAAAAAAGATGCTCAACATTACTAATAATTAGAAAAATACAAATAAAAATCACATGAGCTACCTCCTCGCACACAGTAAGAAGGCCACTGTGTGGGACCAGCAGATGGCATAATGGTTATGTTGCTAGTCTCCTGCGTAGTCAACTGCGATTTGACTTACTTAACTCAGCGGCTTAAAACTCACACCGAGTGCTTGCCCAAGATCCCAGGAGGAGAAGGGACTACAGTGTGGCCATCCCCACTAGGGGATGATTTATCACTTTCTGTCTGTCACTCCAGCAAGCGCTCACACCCTGTAGCAAAAATCTCTCAAAGAAAAGAAGGCTACTGTGATAAAAGTGCTGGCAAGGATGTGGAGAAATTGGAATCTTTATACACTGTTGGTGACAATGTGAAATGGTATCACTGCTATGGAAAACAGTATGACAGTTCCTAAAAAAATTAAAAATAGAATTACTATATGACTCAGCAGTTTTACCTCTGGTTATTTATCAAAAAGAATGAAGAGCAGGGTCTGACACACCCATGTACATAGCAGCATTATTCCCAGTAGCTAAAAGGTGGAAGCAACTCAAGTGTCCATCAGCAGATGAATGGGTAGATAAAATGAGACACACATACACAATGAAATATTCATTCTTAAAAAGAAATTTAGGGGCCAGCAGGTGGCATAGTGGTTGCAGCGCTGGACTGTCACATTGTCAACCATTTGAGTCCTAGACCCTATGACTTGAAAATCATGCTGGGCACGTGTGCATGTATGCCCAGATTCCTGAGAGGAGAATGAAGAAGGGATTGTGGCATGGCCATCCCCCTGGGAACTGATTTCCACTTTCCCTCTCACTGTCTCTTTCTGTCTCTCTTTGGTGAGTGCACACATCCTATTGCAAAAACCTTAAAAGAAATTCAGTTCTGACATATTTACTACATGGGTGAACCTTGAGGTCATTATGCTAAATGAAATAAGCCAGTCACGGAAAGACCAATACTGTCTGATTCTACTTAGCTGAGTATCTAGAGTAGACAGAGTCATAGAAAGGAAACATAAAATGGGTGGTTGCCAGGGGATAGGAGCAGGCAGAAGGGGGAGTTGTTGCTTAATGGGTAATAGAGTTTTCCTGTTTGCAAGATGAAAAGGTTTTGGAGATTGCACAACAATGTGAATATATTTGACACTACTGAACAGTACACATAAGATGGTAAATTTTGTGAAGTGTGTATTTTATCACAATAAAAAAGATTATCTCACTGAGGTCTGGGTTTTGTTCAGAGCTTTAGTAGAAGGCTCACTGATGTGAGTAAGGAAATTGTACCTTGGTTTTAATCTAAGCTTTGGTTTCTTTTCACAGTGCAGCCTTCATATTCATGCTTCTTACAGCATCTCCCAGAAGCTAAATGTTCCGATGGCCCCACTCTCAGAGCCAAATGCCGTAGGCATAGTCATTGCTCATGGTAAGGAGCCCTCCCAGTCACCACCACAGCCAGGAGTAGCAGAGCCACTGAGACTCAGCCGCAGTCTTTGAACCCTAAAGAAAACCCACATAAATGACATTTCCACACCTTTGGTGGAATTCTTGCATTATAATGGTGCTTTGCATTGTTTATAGAGTCCCATCAGAAAGAACACCATGACTTACCCTTTCCCAAGTTTTCAGTGGCCTTCTGTTCTTCTAAAGAGGGCTGGTGGGAAATTATCGGAGTAAATTCACTTAAACTTCTTTCATCAGCAAACCCTCTCTGTTTCGTTGCCAATTTGTGCTGACGGGATGGTGGATTGTGTTGCAGGCAGCGTGGGAGATGCCATCTCAGTGATGGTCCCAGATGTGTACATCTCAGATGATGGGGGTTACTCCTGGGCGAGGATGCTGGAAGGACCCCACTATTACACCATCCTGGACTCTGGAGGCATCATTGTGGCCATTGAGCACAGCAGCCATCCTATCAATGTGATTAAGTATGCATGAGCTCCGCTCCACACACACTCTGACGACGGGCAGCGGTGGGGATGTGCCTAGTTTACTGTGGGGGAGTTATGGACCCTGATGGCAACTCATGCATTCTAGAGAACTATAGCGAATGATCTAGAAAGGATTATGTTTAGGGCAACTCTTATTAAAGGGCACTGCTTTTTCCTCAGGCTCCCTCTAGCTAACACATTTTGTCACTTAAAAAAAAAAAATTCTTCCTCTCAATAAAAACGTTTTAGAAGTATTTAAGTATTCTAGATTGGAAATTACTTACTAAATATAAGCTCTTATCAAATAATTAAGTATATTAGTTTAGAAGTCTTACTTGTGTAGCTACCTTCTTGTTCCTTTGAGAGAATTTTTGTGATCAATTTATGTAAGTTTACTTCTGTACTGTCAAAATTAATTCCTTCCCCCTACCTTGTAGTCATTAACAATGAACAAAACTGTCAGCCAGTAAGCTAGCGCCTAAACATGAGGGGTTTCCTGTGGTTTGGGATCAGTACTGGTCTGCTGATAGTCCCATACACGGTCATCTATGTCGTGCATGATCTTTCTGATTGTGGTTTCAGGTTCTCCACAGACGAGGGTCAGTGCTGGCAGTCCTACACGTTCACCAGGGAGCCCATCTATTTCACCGGCCTCGCTTCCGAGCCTGGAGCCAGGTCCATGAATATCAGCATCTGGGGTTTCACGGAATCTTTCCTGACCCGCCAGTGGGTCTCCTACACCATCGATTTTAAAGATATCCTTGAAAGGAACTGTGAGTGTTTTGACCCTTCCTATAAGAACTTATAAGCCCATTTTCCTAAATAATTAGTTGAGCTTCATTTCTTCTGCAAATGTGTTTGTATATGAAAGGGGATTGAAGCAATTCCCTGGGTAAGCAAGCAGTGCAAGGGTAGCAGCAAAATATCTTCCTTCTTGGGACAAGCACTGTTCAAGAGAAATACGACAGCCACCCATAAGGAGGATTCAAAAAGTTTCATGAAAAAAGTAGTGTTAAGTTTATTTTGGTACATAAAAAAATCTTAAATCCATGCATAGTTTTTTGATTATACATGTTTTCCATGAATTTTATGAGGACCCCCCCATGTGTAATTAATTATTCTGTCAGTTACATCATAAAAATAAGAAAAGTGAAACTAATTTTAGTAATAGGGTTATCTTATGTCAAAATATTAGTATTTTAACATGTGAGTAATTATAGTTATTATTAATGAGATCTTTTACATGTTTTTTCTTTTTAGCCTTCAAAATTCATTGTATATTTAACAATTGCATTTACATCAAACCTCAGTTCAGTCTGGCCACACATGGCTAGGGGTACCACATAGGGCAGAATAGGAGAGACCTTCGTAATTTTCATGAGACTACTTTCCTGTGTGTGAAAATAACACATGCAGGACCGGCCCTGTAGCACAGTGGTTAAACACTGCATAGGAAGTCAGAGCTCACATGACCAACCAGGGTTCAAATCCCTGCCCAAGCTGCTTGAAAAACATGCCAGGTGCATGTGAGTGTGTGCCCAAAATCCTAACAGGATGGAGAAATAGAGGAAAAGGGATTGTGCAGCTGTGCCCAGTGAGAGAGTACAAGCACTTGCGTGCACACACTCTTGCATGGACATGCTCGCTCACAAGCGCATACACCCTCTGGCAGTCAAACGGAAAAAAAAGAATATGGGGACAGCTAATGGTGTGGTGAATGCGGCTGGATTCCACATGGCCAGCTGTGCAGCTTGAAAAAACACACTTGGGTGCTTATGCATATAGGCCCCAAATCCCGAGAGGGGAATGGAGAAGAAGGGATTGCTATATGGCCATCCACCCTAGGGGCTGATTTCTCACTTTCCGTCTCTCTTTCTCTTTCTCTCTCTATATTTTCTGTCTCTGGAAAGCACATGCACCCTGTAACAAAACTAAAACAAAGAAAGAACTCATGCTTGTCATTGTCTAAAGTTATTTCATAACCTGGCGAGGTGCTTTACCCCTAGGGAAATGCAGCGGAACTGTAAGGAGGACACTTCAAGGGAAGTGTAGAGTATCTGACTGATTGTGCTACTGCTTGAAATATTGAAGTGAAGACATTTTCAGGCAAGAGTTACGTCTTGAAAGTTAGTCACAGGAAGCTCTAGAGTCACCACTGGGCAGATGTGAAGCCACACTGACCACTTCAGAGTTTTGTGACTTCCAACTAGATGTTCAAGGCCCAGAAAATGGCTTCAGAAAAGGACTTGTAGTGCCCATTGCACAAGTGTTCCCAAAGTGCCACAAGCGCACACACCCCCATGCCAAAGATACTGCCTTTATACTGAGAAATATGAAGGCTGAAAGAAAAAAGAAAAAGTGGGACCAACAGATGGTATAATGGCTACATCACTGGACTCTCATATAGTCAACCGCAGTTTGAGTCCTGAACCCAGTGGCTTAAACTCATGCCGGGCGCATGTGTGCACATGCCCAAGATCCTGAGAAGAGAAGGGATTGCAGCATGGCCATTCTCCCTAGGGGATGATTCCTCTCTCTCTGTCTGTCTCTGTCTTTTTGGCAAGCGCACACACCCTATAGCAAAAACCTCTCCAAAAAAGAGAGAGAGAGAGAGAGAAGGTGACCCATCGGTACATGTTGGCATAATACAATGAAACATATTTTTCACATGCACTGTGTTTTCCAAGACATTTCAGTTGCATTTGTGATATGGGTCTGTGTCCTCAGGATATTAATTCAGTGACTTCTGAGGAAGCAGAGTTCTTGGTTTGGACCTTACTTTTCCACAAGATGTTTAAATATGATTTAATACCTGAGCATGACTGTCATCTAAATTCATTAAATAGGCAGTCAGGGAGCTGGCTTGTGAGTTCCCTCCCACGAGGCAGTTCCACAGCTTCCCCTAACGTTCTACATCATTAAAAGATTTGTTGAGCACCTGCTCTTTAACAGGCCCCGTGCTGGTCTGCATATCCCGCAGGATAAAACCTAATCCACAGTGGCTTTGAGTGACTGCCTTTGACTTGCTTGTCCAGGAGTAGATGATACGATACACTAAACCGGAAACAGTATACTAAGCCGGAAACGATTGTCATCAACAGTCTGCATGCGTGAGCCAGTCCACTAGGTTAGAACTCTAGGAAGAGTTTTTCCTTTGTTTGAGACAAACTAGCATGTGGTGAAATTGAACCTGTGCTCTTGGCCAGTGAGCACCTTGTACCTAACAAAGAACCCCCGGCTGTAAGTCCTCGCCTCTGACAGCTCTGACAACTCCTGCTGACTGAGGGTATAGCTGTGCAAGGCACACACATAGCAGTCTCTCGGTTTGGGAGGAACTCAAGAGGTCCACCATCCAGCTTTTCTAACTTCAAGACTTGTTCTTAATCCTCCAGTGGATGTTGAGATGGAAAGAATCCTCTTGGCATGAGGAATTGCGATTATTAATAGGCTACAGACCATTGCAATTGTTGTCTTTGTTTGTTTGTTTGTTCGTTTTAATTTGTGCTGCAGTTGTATGCACTCACCAGAGAGAGATTGGCACGGGGACAGTGCAGCCCCTAGGGGTTGGCTACACCACAATTACTTCTCCACTCTCCTCTCTAGATTTTGAGCATACATGTACACTTGCGTGGTTTTCAAACTGCTGGGTCCAGGACTCAGACTGCACAGTCTCCTGTATGGGATCCAGGCACCTTAACGGCCACGCCACCAGCTGGCTGACCAATGTAACTTTTATTTGCAGTCCAAAATGAAGCAGTAGGTCATGAGTCAGACATTCCCACATTCCCTTCTTGTTCTTCCAGTAGCCTAGCAGCTGCTGCCTATGGGGATGGGGAGGGGAGGGAGGTTCTGTGCCACACAGTTTCCTGAACAGTCTGTGTGTCCTTTAGGTGAAGAGAAGGACTATACCATATGGCTGGCACATTCCACAGACCCTGGAGGTTATGAAGATGGCTGCATTTTGGGCTATAAAGAACAATACCTACGGCTACGCAAGTCATCCGTCTGTCAGAATGGCCGAGACTATGTTGTCACCAAGCAGCCGTCCATCTGTCCCTGTTCCCTGGAGGACTTCCTCTGGTATCAGCATTCCTCAGATCCCTCTGTCAGCCCCTTTCCCATGTTGGAGAAAGTGAAAGATAGTTGTCTAACAGGGCTAAAAAGTGTTCAAATCCTTTCCCCCAAGAGTGGAGAAATGCTTCTTTGCAAGGAAATCAAGGCACAGAAAAAAGGAACCAAAGTTGTTAATAACTGGAGAGAGCGTATAATCATGTTAGGTGATTCCTGGGCAGAACCAGCAACAAGCCCCAGAAATGTTGTCTTGGCAGTGGTGACAAGGAGAGAAGTTATGTAAGAAGGAAAAGGATAAAACAAAAACACCAAGGCAAGTGACACAGGAGCAAAGAGGAAGTTGGGCCTTAGAAAATAGCCTGGCAGCTCAAGTTCAGTAGGAAGGATGGCAGGGTTTAGGTCCCCTTCAGGAGTGAAGACAGAGAGCTGGTGGTTTGGTTCCGAGGCTAGAGGTGACATCGTGACAGCCATGTGCACGTGTGCCATGAGGGTTAGAGGCCATCAGGGTGGATGCCCTCGAGTTAGGACCAGCCAGGCTTATTTGGCTGGCGAAGGGTTAGTTGATTATATAAAGGCAGGGGGTCCAGGCATAGCTCAAGTTAGTAATTTTAGGGCAAATAAGAGGAGCTGCTTCACATCACAGGTAATCCTTTTCTGGAACGTTCCAAAAGATCATGTTAGGAAGTAAAAGTGGTTCCTAAAGGATTTGGACAAAGAAGGCAGGTGGATGGCTGTCATGGCCCCTGTGTGATATTGTCTCGAACCACAGGTGACAGTAGAATACAGGTGTGAGTGACATGCAGGTCTGACCAAGTGTGGTCCCTCCAGTGTGTCTCATATCTGCATGTGGAATGACCAAGTCCTCCCTTCTCTGTTTCCACAAAGAAACATTCGGCTGAGATCACCTTCAGTATTGTAGAGGTTGTTGATAGATCCGTGAAACTAACAGGGTATCTCCCATCTTTTTGGGGGGTGGAGGTGGAGGGTTTTTTTTTTTGCTATAGGGTGCATGCACTTGCCAGAAAGACACAGAGACAGAAAGCCAGAAATCACCCCCCAAGGGGGATGGCCATGCCACAATCCCTTCTCTTCCATTCTCCTCTCGGGATCTTGGGCACGCACGCACACGCACCTGGCATGAGTTTAAGCCACCTTGTCTGGGACTCAAACCACGGTTGGCTACATGGGAGTCCAGCAACATAGCCAGTATGCCAACTGCTGGTCCTGGTATCTCCCATCTTTGACTTCACTTATGCCAGGCTTCCTGCGGGAGTGTCTGCTGTTTTCCAGACATGCTATGAACCCTCAGAGCTCCATGCCATTACACATGGTGCTTCCTCTGCCCGGAAAGCCTTTCCACATCGCCTGCTTGACCCCCAAACCCAGTGGATTCTACTCAGCCTTGAATACTTAGCTCCAGCTTTCTCTCACCTAGACTCCCATAGAACCCTTATTAGCTCACCTGCTGTGCTTTAGTTATCGCTTATAGGGTTGCTTCCACCATTAAATCCCAAGCTCCTTGAAAGCACTCTCCCTTCAGTAGTAACGTAGCAGCATTGGCAGCAGCCAGCTTTTATTGAGCATCACCTCTGTCCTCGGCACTGGCCTCTGTAAGGCATATTTAATTTCATAGCGGAGAGGCTGTGACCAGCTTGCTCGGGAGAGCGGCAGGGCTGGAACGTGAAGCTGCTACTGCAGCCCCAGAGCCCACACACTGTACCACGTGTCCTTGAGAAGTGGGTCCTCTATGAGGGAGAGGGGTACCTCCCCTGAAATTTTGGATTGAATACCTTAAATTCTTAATTGAATTTACCTCTGCTGTTGGGAGGATGGTGTCTTTATATCTTTTGTTCTCCCTGCCCTCTTCTTTAAATACTTGTCAGAAAAACCCTCGAAGTCAAGTAATATCTATATATTCTCCAAATAGTCATTACGTACCTGCTGTGCACAGGGCAATGCAGAGAGAGGGTGGAAAGTCTCTTACCTATTTTCCTGGAAAGATGAACGTAATTGTGGTGCGGAACAGAAGGTGGTGCTGTGGGGGCTTAGAGAAGGGAGAGAGTAGTTCACCTAGAGCCGAAAGGACGGGGGCCAAAGAAGGCTTCTGTTGAGAAGGCGGCGTTCCAGCTGAGCCCTGATGAATGGTGGGCTCTGCCCATGATCTGGGAAGAAAGCAGGCTGTTAGAGCCTCAGGCTGCTGTCAGCTTGGAACCAGCACCGTGATCCGGGAGTCTGTGCTGGGAGAAAGGCCGTGAGGGAAGGCAGAGTAATCGTGATAAGAAGCAAGTGGAGTCTGAGAGGATGGTGGCCAGGCTAGATGGCCGGCTCAGACCGTGGGAGGGAATGCAGTGTCATGGACATGACATGGAAATGCAGAGGAGCCTGCACAGGGCAGGCACGGGACGTGGAGAGCACCGTCTGCCTGTGAGTTCTGTCCGCATAGTGGGTGGCAGTCAGCAGCAGGTATTGGAAATGTAGGGTGAAGTGAAAGGAAACCTCAGGAGAGCAGTAAAACCCGAAAGGTTTAGTTTCAGCCACAGAAGCTGTGGTCGCTAAAGGAAAGCAAATACAGAGAAAGTAAGAGGACGGATGCAAGAGCCCTGCACGGCTTCTGCACTTATGGGTTGGGAGGCAGGGAGAGCGAGTAGAGGCCCAGAAGCAGACAAGTGTGGCTTTGCCAGTGCCGAGGTGGGTGGGGGCACAGCGGTGTGTCAGACGCCACAGAACAGGTGGTCACAGTGAGACCAGAGAGGACTCCACCGGGCCTGATGACTAGCGAGCCCTGGTGGTGGTAGCAGAGTGGTGGTGGGGAGAGGTTGTCATTCATTCATTTTCAGGGTTGCAGAGGACGTTGAAGTCAAAATGCATGGGGTAAAAAAGAAGTGAAGAAAGTAGGACAAGTAAGGAATATTCTTCTAAGAAATTTGGCTAGTAAGGGAACGGAGGGCTAAGAAAGTATTTCTAGGGTGGAGGCATATGTAGGCGAAGGAGAAGCCATAAGTTAGGTAGAGAGATGGTCCCTTCTCATGCTGTCAGTGAAGTTAGGTCCTGGGGCAGGTAGGAGGAGCAGGACCAAGGGTGCTCACGTACGGGGAAGCCTTAGAGAAGAGGACCTTACTGTAGGGGCAAAGCAGGAAAAGGAGAGCAGAAGGGTGGTGCTAGAGAGACATGAGATGAAAAGAGGGCAGGAAAGGGTGTGGAAGCAAGGGCCATCTAAGAAGCTAAGAGGGACAGAATTGCAGAGGACAGAAATGGTTTCACATAGGGAACCAGCAGTTAGCGTAATGGCTATGTCGCTGGATTCCCACGTAGTCAACCACGGTTCGCGTCCCGGACCCAGTGGCTTAAAACTCATGCCAGGCACATGTGCATGCGTGCCCAAAATCCCGAGAGGAGAATGGAGGAGAAGGGATTGCCGCATGGCCATCCCCTCTGGGGGGTGATTTCTCACTTTCTGTCTCTATGTCTATCTCTGTCTGTCTGGCGAGAGCACACACCCTATAGCGAAAAAACCTCTCAAAAAAAAAAAAAAGAAAAAAAGAAATGGTTTCACATAGACCTGGAGGACAGGATAAATGGAGGGAAAGGGAAGAGCTGTTAAGTGTCTGTAGCTAATGCCACCATTTTTGTGGCCCTGTCCTCACCCTAGTTGTGCAGTCACCTCTGCCCGCCCCCACCGTCGCTGTCGGCGGCAGTCACTCCTCTCCCTGAGCCAGAGCTGTCTACAGGGCTCCCAGCCTTGGGCTCTAGCTAGTCCCAATTCCACCAAGCCCGATCGACCATGAGCTTCCTTTCTCCTCAGCAGAGCCCTCCATGTCTGCTCCTAGATGGACATGCCTTCCTGAGCTGCTTCTGGGCCACTCAAGCCTGGGATATCAGCCATCCACTGCCCCACGTTAAACCTTCCTTGAGGGTCAGCTGGTGGCATGGTGGTTAAAGCGACTGGATCCTACATGGCCGACTACACGGTTTGAGTCTTTGACACAGTGGCTTAAAAGACACACTGGGCGTGTTTGCCTACATGCCCGAAATCCCAACAGGAGGGGGAGATGGAGAAGGGATTGCAGCGCGACATTCCCCACAGGGGGTACTTTCTCTCTCAGTCTCTCTCTGTGCCATTCTGTCACTGTCTTTCTCTGGCAAATGCACACAGCTCTGGCAAATTAAAAACAAAACAAAAATTTCATTGGTAGTCACTGTCTTTTAGCGACTTTGAGAGTTACTTTATTTGTTGCCTTTGCAGTGATTTTGGCTACTACCGTCCAGAAAATGACTCAAAGTGTGTGGAACAGCCAGAACTGAAGGGCCACGACCTTGAGTTTTGTCTGTATGGAAGAGAGGAGCACCTGACGACAAACGGGTGAGACGGCCCTTTCTCCCCCTGACCAGTGAGCCGTCCTTGTTCGGAGTGAGAACACGCAGAGCGGGACAGTACTTGAGAGCACTCTTAAAAAGCACTAGTAGAGCTTCCTGCAGTGATGGGAATATTCTGTAATCCGCCGTGGCCAATGTGACAGCCGCCAAGCCATGTGTGGCTGTTGACACTAGTGTCCCAAGGAGCTGAAGTTTTCATGTTAATTCATTGTCCTATCTGTAGCCACCATATGGGACAGCACAGCTCTAGTGGAGCTGTAGTCCCTCCGTGCCTGATAAACGTTCCCATCTCCACTGCTGTACCACGTATTAATAAATTTTCCTTGAGTCACATTTCACACAGTCTGTTGAGGTTGAAAGGACAGTATTTCCCTGACAGCAAGGGACAGAGATGTTTAGTCTGCTCAGGGCCTGAAAATACACAGAATAACCTCCAAAACTTCCCCATGAACATCCTTCTAGCCCAGGCCTAGAAGATCACGTGATGTAGGGATGAGAAGTGTTTCAAATCTCGTTTCTAGGCAGTGGGCACGCGTCCAGGAGCACATCCTTATATTTTTCTAATAAATCTTCTTTGCCTTCCAGTTACCGGAAAATCCCGGGAGACAGATGCCAAGGTGGTGTGAATCCAGTTCGAGAAGTGAAAGACTTGAAAAAGAAATGCACAAGCAACTTTTTGAGCCCAGAAAAGCAGGTAATGTGAAAATACATCTGTTTTTTAGGTAGAAGTAGGATTTCTTGTTCTGCCAGGAAGAATCAAGGTTACAGCATCTAGAATTTCGTTGCTGACTCAAAGTGGCCAAACTACTTCTGTCAAGCTCCCATTGCACAGGAAACTGTGTGGATGCACGAAGGGCCACGAAGCTCAATGCTAAGTTGTGGGGGCAAGGTGGTAAATTTGTAGAAGTCTTAAGTCGTAGAGTTGTGGAAATTTCCGAGTCTCAGAGTCACTTAGAGATGGCCAAAGAAGATTGGTTATAAGAGGTTATAACCTGGAGGTTTGTGGTGTGGACAAGCAGAGGACCCGACAGATGGGTGGATCCTTGTGCTGAGTCGTGTTGAATGTGTTCACAATGAAAAACTGAACTTGGGTAATAATGGGCTGGTTTTGATGTAGGAGCAAGTTATGGTTCTGATTGCAAAACTGTAGTACTGAACTGTCGACTGGGATTTAGAGATAAAGTATGGAAGAAATTCTTCCTAAAGGAGCTCTGGATCAGCTCTGTGACTTGGGGGTTATCTGTGGGCCCTTGTTTCCACATCTGTGGAACAAGGTGTTGAGCCGGACAGTCTGCAGTCCCTTCCTCTCTGCTGTCCTCAGGGATGGGAGCCTGACATGGGTGGGATTGAGAAGGCAATGGGAGAAGAGTGCATGGGTGTGTGTATTTGTGAGGGGCAGATTCCTCCTCTGCTCCCCTGCCCTGGACTGCTGGTGGCCGTCCTCAGAGTGTTTGTGTGTGTGATTGCACAGGACTCCCGCCCACGGGGACACAACTTGTCCCAGACTCCAGCTCTGCCTCCTCTTGGATACATTGAAAACATACACTCCCTATCTCCCACCCAGATGCAGGTAGGTTTCACTCAAACAATGATGTGATAAGGCTTATTTGTGAAAACATACCAGAAATTAATTTTTTTTTTTTTTACTTTTTTTTTTTTGTTCTTTGAGAGGTTTTCACTATAGGGCGCGTGCGCTCGCCAGACAGACAGAGAGAAACATAGAGACAGAAAGCGAGAAATCACCCCCCAGAGGGTATGGTCACACCGCAATCCCTTCTCCATTCTCCTCTCGGGATCTTGGGCACGCACGTACACGCGCCCGGCTTGAGTTTTAAGCCACCAGGTCCAGGACGCAAACCGCGGTTGACTACATGGGAGTCCAGTGACATAGCCATTACGCTAACTGCTGGTTCTCCAGAAATTAAATTTTTTAAAAGAGTTATTTTATTTAACTTTATTGATTGATTGATTTTAATTTGACCAGAGAGGAACAGAGTGAACAAAAGAGAGAGAAAGTGAGAAAGCAAGCCGCCAGGTCTGGGACTCAAACCATGGTTGGCCATGTGGGAGTCCAGCACCCTTAACCATCACACCACCTGCCAGCCCCCAGAAATTAAATTTGAAAAGAAAAAAAGAAAAAGAAAAACCTTGCTATCACACAATGGCCTGCCTTATAGCATTGCCACAACTTCTTCCGAGATGATGTGGCCCTGTTCTAGAGTCAGTCAGCCCACTGTTATCATAGTCTGCTCTTCCTGCTCCACCCTTAAGCACCAAGGTTTGTAAATGGGCAGTGTGGAGTAGTCAGTTACCGTATTTGATCTAGGCAGTCGCCCAGGCTTTCAGCATAATTTTGCCATTGAAGCCACTGGATCTGCAGCTTCAGAGCAGCTGGAGCTCAGATTACTCTCTGCCAGCTGTGAGATTCCCCTTGTGACATTGACATGGTTCATCTTGCGGGGTTAGAAAAATACCATCATTAAATGCCTTGGATTGCAGATCATTTGTTCACAGAGGTGAGGGGAATGAGCTCCTTTGAATGCAGTCTTAGAATATGCATGGCTAAAAGCTTTTGTGTTTGTGTTTTAATTTATCAAGAATTCCAAGTCAAATTCTGTTCCAATTATCCTGGCCATTGTGGGATTGATGCTGGTCACAGTCGTAGCAGGAGTGCTCATTGTGAAGAAATACGTCTGCGGGGGAAGGTAAGAAATGTGGAAGTCAATCAAAGGTACTGAATTCAAACCAGGAAATCAGATGAGGGCATATGGTTGAGTCTGCCTTTGGCAAAATCGAGGCAGTTAGAGTGATGTTCCTGAGGAATCAGACCCAAATCTTCACATATGTCGTCTTTTCACGTGCCAGTTATGGGCTGTGCTTCTGTATGTGAGACTGGCTCTGTGAGTGCATTAAGTTGAGAAAATCCACAGGCCTCTAAGAAATGCGCCCCTGCTCAGCACATGACGGCTCACGGAGGTTTCTACTCCAGGTTCCTGGTGCATCGGTACTCTGTGCTCCAGCAGCACGCGGAGGCCAACGGTGTGGACGGCGTGGACGCTCTGGACACAGCCTCCCACACAAACAAAAGCGGTTATCACGACGACTCAGACGAGGTGAGACTTTCTCCATGAGGGGTGGTCAGAAAATACCAAAAAGAAAGGGAGTGTTCTTCTATTCACGATCACTATACGATACTACTGAGGTGGAGGTGGAGATTCGGCAAGGTGATGGCCTTCCAAATGGGGAGTTTTTAGGCTGTCGGTAATATGGTATGTGTCTTGTCTTTTCAGGACCTTCTGGAATAGCTCTTCAGAGGAGCTGGGACCAAGCATGGAGGTGGAACCACAGTACCTCTCACACTCGCGGTGGCTCCAACTGGGGGAAATAAATTTCCCATTACGAGGGCCCCAGCTCTGTCTCTGCTGCTTCCATCAAAGCCAAAAGGACCTACTCTAGAGACATGCGGGGGGGTGGGGAACCCTGGGTGCTCTTGGAATTGGCTCTGAGAAGAGGGGAAAATTTAAATTCTTTAACTTTTTATTTCAAGTTCTGTCTTTTTGCAAAGTATGGGCTTTGGGGATTTTGTTTTTGTTTTGTTTTTAAGGGAAATGAAATGGAATTCAAAGGGAGCGTCTCACTAGCCCACTCTTCCGTGCCCTACATGGTGCCTGCCCCAGGGCATCTGCCACCTCCAGCATCAACCCTCACCAGGTACTCGGTGCTGTTCCTGGGCTCTGCTGGCAACATGAAGCAGCCACAGAGAGGGAAACAGAGACTGCAGTTACCGGCACAGCCCGGCCAGCGTCTCCCTAGCTGGGGAACATTGCACTCCAGCTCCTCACTCAGATCCCTGCTGCTGCATCTTTTTTTTTTTTTTTCCCCTTCAGGGACCAGAGACCACAGTGATTTTTCTTTTCCCTTGTTTAATTAGGCAATACCCTTGTTAATTGCCCCTTGGCAACTAACTTAACCATGTGCTTCCAAGATACTAAATCAGGAAAATTTACAGGGCAATATTTTTAACTTAAGGCAGGAAGAGGGGAACAGCATAGAATTGACTAGATTTAGCACCTATTAAAGGAGAGATTCTTGCTTCTTGAGATCTTTCAAGCTGTGCTTTGTGTGTGTGCCAGTGGACTTGCTCAAGGACAGGGTACAGGCCTGGCCTGGAAGCCTGCCCAGGCTGAGTGATCTCGTCACTGGAGTTGTTCATTGAGCGCACAGAGCAGCCCGAGAGCCCCAGGACTGAAGCCGCAGTCTTCCGTTTTCTGGTTGTTACCTGTTGTGCGGGCTCATCGTGAAGTCAGGGCGGTTGCTGCTTATCTGCTTCTCTTAGGTTGCTGTACCTTGAGCCAGGACTAGAGTTGTTTTCAGATTTATGGACTTTTTTTTTTTTCCCTTGAATCAAATGTTTATTGCCAGGCTGTCCTCATCTCTCTCAGCTAGCTTTGCCAAGTAATTTGTTGGCATGAAATGTTTGGCCGAACCCATTGAAAACACACTTGCAGTCCAGGTGATGTTTTTTGTGATGTACTGAGTTCATACTTTAAATTTAAGGAAGTTTTCTATCTGGCATTTGCCCAAATGAAATGAATTTTAGAATGTAGTTGGGTGGATCTGGGGGTGACCTCTTAGCAAAGGAAAGCTGCAATAATGAGTCCAGTACGGCTCGAATGCTTGCTGTAGAATGTCGTGTGGTGAGCTTTGGGTCTGAATGTACCTGCTGCGCTGGTCAGTTTCCCCGGTAATTATGGTTGGGACATTCTTTGGTAGATGCCATTTGCTGCTAGTTCATTTTGTGGCTAGAAAGTCCATGAAAAGTGAATGTGCCAAATTAACTTCGTCAGAGTGTGGGAGCAGATGGCCCAGCTCTCTCCTCCCAGAATAGATGAACAGCAGCGAGGAGAGCGGAGGAGGACGTGGACGGGGAGTTTTAGAGACTTTGAAACTGCAGTCGAATGAAATGAGTCAGGGAGCTTCAGTTAGAAAATAGTTAGGACAGTTTTCGTGGAGAGAATTAATAGCTCTTAAGGCTAGAGTGCCTGCGTCTTTTAGCTCATTCGTTTTACCTGGTTTTAAAATGTAAAATAATTCCAAAGATACACTAGGTCACAAATGATAGACAGTGTCCACCTTTGTCCCACCCTTACCCCCTGTCCAAAGGGCATTTGGTGCCCAGGAAAAGCCTATTTATACCACACACCTTTTCTGCTGGCATATAGCTGCTCTGGGTAGATGTGGCAGCATTTGGGAATCCTCTCACTAGTTTTAAGCTGTGGGAAAGTTAATATTCTTCTCTAACCACATACGGTTAGGGCTTTCTGCTCGTACTGCGCCCTGGGATTTCCGTAGAACTCGGCAGTTTTCCAAGCACCTTCACCTGCATTACGTCATTGGAACCTCACAGTGTCCTGTGAAGGGGCCGAGGAACCACACGGGGGTGTATTGTCTAGGGTCCCCGTGTGTGACGAGCAGTGCCACCGGTAGTCTTCAGAGCTCGGACCTCTTTGGGCATGCAGGGGCCGCGTACGGGGCGCGGGGCGGCTTCCTGCGCTGTAGGACAGGGTTGGAGCCGCTGCTGTAGGGCAGTGTGACAGCCCTCTTGCCACTTTGGCAAGCAGAAAATGTTGTTCTTCTGTTTTCATGCTGAAAACAGAAGTAATGGTAATTTTGAATGTTTTTTAGAAACTGTCCTTGCCCTCATGGAGGGTCACTGTTAAAGAGGAAGGAGTGGGAGCTTCATGCAAGAGCACCCTTCTCCACCTCCTCCTTTCCACCCCTGGCTGGCCGGCTTGTTCAAGAACTGGTGGCAGGCCTGGCCACACCCTTTGTTGGCTGTCAAGCTTGTGTGTCAGCCTACTCACTCACAGACACGTGCCCTCAGCAGAGAGTCGAACCACCTAAACCCATGATAGCGTCTAAAAGTCACTGTCCCAATCATCGCACTCAAGGTTAGGGACGTATCTTTGAAGGCAAAACACAGCATACCATTGCGTAAACTCCCAGGCATGAAGGTAGCAGAGGGATTATTTCTGGGAGTTTCCATAGTGGAATTTAGCCTTGTCAGATAGGTGGGACAGACAGACAGCCCACAGTGGTCTGAGCTAAATCCCGGGAGGACTCACATCCTTCCTGCTCAGACCTAAGCAGACCTTTGCTTTTCAGTGAGACCAGTGACCCGGACGGATACACCTAGGCTGTTGCTTGAAGGAGAGCACTGCGTGAGGAGGAAAGGCCTTTGGAGAGCTGTGGCAGTTCTGGGGTGGGCTCCAGAGGCTCGGTAGAGGAGCAATGGCGGAACTTGGTGTTTACCATCTGCCTCGGAGTAGACTTTCCAGGGTGTATCTCTCTTGCTCTTAGGTTCCCCTCTGGGCCTCCCTCCACTCAAGTGGCCTTTCATCCCCACAGACGAGTAACGTGCTGGCCGCTCCAGCCCCTGCACTGGGCCCTGTGAACCGCAGCTGGTCCTTCCTGGCCTTCACCACAGTACCTGGACACACAGCAGTGTCAGGCCATCCACACCCACCCCAAGTGACAGGGCTGGCCTGGTCCAGTTGCTTATTCACTCTCCAGGCAGAGCAGGAGGGGAGAGTCTTTCCTTTCAGGAGAGCTGGGAAGAACCCTGCCCTTCCCTCAGGGGCCCCGTGCCTGTCCCGCTCCTCCACTCCCCCCTTAAGCCAGGATATCGGAAACTGCTGAGTAGGAAGGGATTCAGCTCTTCACCTTTGCTACCACCATGGGCTTAAATGTGCTTTGAGTAAAACCAAAGTTTAAGGTTGGCCGTATGATGGAGTGACAGGGAGGACCAGGGTCAGCAGATGCCAGACTTTCTGTTCCATCTGCCAGCGATGTGCCTGGCTCAGGCAGCTCTGGAAACACCATCTTGCCCTCACAGAGCCCAGGCCTTGCCCTCATGAGGATAACTGAAATAGCAGGCGCGTGTGGATCTCTCGGTTACGTTGCATTGTAACAGGAAGAACCTTAATTTGGAACTGTCTTCAACAACTTGCCGTATGCATTTTCTTTTCCACACCAGTACATTCTTAAGCGTCCTTGGTTATACGAAACAGCATAAACTAATCTGTACCTTTCTATATATATGTGTGTGTGTACATATATACATGTATAGACTGTATAGTGTACATGTTAATGATTTATGGGTAGTCCCCGGATCTTTAATGCAGTGCACCTCCTCCGCATGCCCTCAGTCGTGGTTGGGTGACTTCATGTTCCCTGATGGGCCCGCCCACCTCCTGTGTTTGAACCTCTAGGAAAGAGGGCTTTGGTCACATCTCCTTATCCTCGTGCACAGAAATGCTCAGGGTCCCCATGTGCCTGTTGAACCCTCTCGTCGCTTGTCCCCTTTCTGAGCATGTGGTCCCCCCCAAGCTGTGGGACAGCTGCCTTCCTGTGAAAGTGTAAAGCAGTATTAAGATCATTACTGCATGTGCGCCAGAAACCCAAGTTTTCTGTTCTCTTGGGACAGAAAATTGCATGAGGTGGGATAACCAAGTCTCAATGACCCACGTCAGTTACACAACAAAGCCAGACTCTAAAATGAACTTCCACGAAATGGAAAGAAAATTCAAATTTCTTTAGCATTGTGTAAATAAATCTGGATGTGTTTAACTTTGTACTGGTACTTTTCTGTATATTTGCAATATCTGGGTTAGAAATAAAACAGATTGGACTTTATTACCTGACCTACTGAGATGACTAAGCTACAGTTTGTTACTATGAAAGCTCTTCCAGTTCTCTAGCTTCAGAAATCAAACCCCAGCAACCTCAGAGTAAGCCAAAGAACTGAAACTGTACATACATAGAATGAAAGGCATTTTAAAAAGTGAGTTGTTTTCCCCATAAATTACCTCATTCATTCTCTCTCTCTCTCTTTAATTGCCAGAGGGCATGTGTACTCACCAGAGAGAGACAAAGAAAAAGGGAGAAAGCACCCCTCCTCACCACCACCACCAGTGGAACATGGTCACCCACCGTCCCTTCTCTACTTCGCCATTCTGTCAGAATCAGGGGCAGACACACACACAGTGTATTTTTCAACCTACTGGGGTGGGAATTTGAACTGCAGTCAGCAGTGTGGAATCTGGCTCCCTCAACCATAGGCAACAGGGTTGGCCCCTCCTTTTCTTGTCCTTTATTTTCTTGTTCTCTTTTTATTATTTTTTTTAAAGAAGCTTTATTTTTCTACATAGTGAGGTACAGAGGATAACATTGTAAAAAAAAAAAAGAGGGGGAGTATTCCAGTGTGATTTTCAAACCACCAGGTCCAGGACTTAAGCCTTGATCAGATATGTGGGAATCCAGTGCCTTAACCCCCATGCCACCTGCTGGCCTGCTTTCTTGTTCTTTTTACTTACAAAGATTGATCTCTCAGGGACCAGCAAATGGTGTAATAGTTACCTTGCTGGACTCCCACATAGTCAACCATAGTTCCAAGTCCCAGATCTGGTGGCTTAAAACACACTGGGTGGGTGGGCATGCGTGTGCCCAAAATCCTGAGGAGAGGGTGGAGGAGAAGGGATTTTGGTGTGGCCACCGCCCCCAGGGGGTGATTTCTTGCTGTCTCTGTTTCTCTGGTGAGTACACATACCCTGTAGCAAAAATCTCTCTAAAAAACAAATCTGTCTATCATGGGTAAGATCACCTGTCTTGTTCTTACCCCCAGAAAGTATAGCAGGCAGACCCCACACATCCTAGATTTCAGTTGCTAACTTTTCCTCCTGGGCATAGCAGCATGTAATTATACTGCTTGAATTCCATTCCTTGTAGCAGGTTTGACATGACAACACTGGGAAGTTTAACTTTGGTAACTTTCCAGCTACCCCTCTTATATTTTTATTACTGCTCTTTTTCACGGTCCTTCTGCATCCATTTAATGACCCTCAAAGAGTTGTAGTTTTCCTTTCTCCCAAAATTGTTTTAGGAGAGGTTCCTGTCCACTTGCATTGAACCTTTAGCCATCCTGGGTAATATTTCCATGTTAATGCCCTGGCATCTTGGTCTGATAGGGCAAAGCCCTTGTTCTTGAAGAGATGACCATCTGGTGGAAGGATTTCTACCCCCAGGATAAGGCAGCTATTTCTTTTCTTTTAAGATAATTATTTAATATTATTATTATTTGTCCAGAGAGAGAGAGAGAACGTGAGAAAGCAAGCCGCCAGGTTTGGGACTTGAACCACACTCAAATGTAGGAGTCCAGCACCTCATGCCACCCGCCAGCCCCAAGGCAGCTATTTCTTTTAAGGAGTTCTCTCTAATGTACCAAGATGTCATGCACCAGAAACACTAGTTGGTTTGTTGGAGTTTTTTTTAAAGATACATAGATATATGTCTATATATAGATACAGATATTTTTTGCACACTGCATGCGCTCACTGGAGAGTCTGAGAGGAAAAGTGAGAAACCACCCCCCAGGAGGGATCCACCATCCCTTCTCAAAGTTCTGTTTGGGATTTTGGGCATGCACACATATATATACCCAGGATGAGAGTTTCAAGTCACCAGGCCCAGGGCTCGAACCACAGTTGGCCATGTGAGAGTTCAGCACCTTAACTACTATTCCACCTGTTGGCCCCTCCCTGGGTTTTTTTTTTTTTTTTTTTTCAAACAAGTTTTTGCTATAAGGTGCGTGTGTTCACCAGAAAGACAGAGACAAATCAAGAAATCACCCCCCGGGGGATGGCCATACCCTTCTCCTCCATTCTCTCGGGATCTTGGGCATGCACACACATGCACCCAGCGTGAGTTTAAGCCACTGGGCCCAGGACTCGAACCATGGTTGTCCAGCAACATAGTCATTACGCCAACTGCTGGGACCAGCTGGAGAGAGACCAGGGTAAATGAGAAATAACTTCCCTGGCGGATGGCCAGACTGCAATCCCATCTCCATTCTCACAGGATTTGGGGCACGTGCACACATGGGCCAGGTGTAATGTCTAAGCCACTGGTGCTGGGATGGAACCTTGAAGTTAGCCATGTGGGATCCAGCCTCCTTAACCTCCATACCTGCTGCTGGCCCAGGATTCTTCCTTTTAAATTTGATTTTTTACACCTTTGCTGCAACCAAGGGCTAAGACTAAAAGCCTGGGCCAACTCCACCAGAGAGGGGTAAGTGCTATAAAAAGGGGCATGTTTGGAGATTGTTCATACTCAGGGGCCTTGGCCGGATCAGGCAACAAATAAATTAGACGGATCTTCAGATTAGTTCTGATAATAGTACAGGCCTAGCCTTCACCAGCCAGTCCAGCCCCCAAGGTCCACCTCCACAGTCACACTAGCCATCCTCGCCAATGATAAACAGGTTCCCGCACCTGACGCATATCTAAAGGCTGTCCTGGACCTCAGCTCCTATGCAAAATTGCAAAGAGGTCAAGCTTCTGTTACCCCAAGATAATAACGTGGACTCCCAGGATCCTATTGACTGCCCCCAAATTGGGGACTAAAATGACCCAAGAGGCTATTGATTCACCAAACTCATTTTTTTTCCATGAAAAAATACAGGAATGATGAAGGGGTATCTGGGAACTCTACTTTCCATTTTAGGGTCAAATTTGCATGACCCTAAAACTGTTCTAAAAATATACTTCTGGCTTTCTGTCTCTCTCTGTCTTTTTGGCAAGTGCACGCACCCTATAGCATAAACCTCTCCAAAAAAAAAAAAAGAAATTATATGGTCTTTTGTACATGACTCCCACTACTATGGCTGCCACACACACGCCAGGACCTGAAGTCCAGAGTAAGTCCAGCTGGTCACTGAATGGCACAGCCAGAAATCTCCAGGGCTCTCTGAGCCACCCTCCTGCCTCTCACTGTATTTGTACCTGTCTCGAGAGCGAGGGAACCACTGACAGCTTTCAGAGGGGTGAACGCTGGCTGGACCTAAAAATAGCTTCTATTTATCGAGCACTTAGTCAGCTACCCTCTGCTAAGCACTTTACAGAGATGACTTCTTTTAATCCTCACAACGACCCTATGGTTATTATCTCCATTTTACAGATGAGGAAGCAGGAGAGACTCGTGGGTTGCCATCACACAGCTGGTTGTTGGTAGCACCAATGGGGCCCAGGTGGTCTGACTGCAGAGCGCAGACTCACTGCCCTGCCCCGTGGGTTGTAGGGGTTGGGGGTGGCAGAGGGAGGGAGGCTGGCGAGGAGAGGATGCACGCAGGCCCTGTAAAGGTTGAGCTGATAAGACTTGACTTTACAACTCATCAAACGTGAGAGTGGATGAGAAAGAGCAGTTATAACTGCTGGAGGTCAAGAGCCAAGGTGTCACCCAATCCTCCCAACAGAAGCCAGAGGTCCCTTTTGGATGGTCTGTGCTCAAGCACTCCCCTCCCTCCCTAGCGCTGTGAGGGGTGTCATCTCTCCCAAGATAACAGGGCCACCACAGCCCTCCCCGTGCGGCTATTCTGGGCTGCTCTGATCCCCTTCTCTTCCCCTAGCCCCTTCTCCAGACTTCTGCTGAGAGTAGCGGGGCAGGAAAAGGCCAGCCCTGTTACATAACTCCATGGCTGGGACCCGGGGAGGCAGCCTGGAGAGCAGGTGCTCAGCCCCTCCCTCACCACCAACAGTGAAAATCTTCAGCTGGAGCCCAGCCTCAGGGTAGGCCCAGCATGGAGGCAGCCACTGCTCTGGAGGTGGCCTCAGGACCCACGCTGCTGAAGGAGCAAGAAGCCAGCCCAGCCCATGCCGAAGGACTCCAGGCTTCACCACGACAGGGAGCCAGCTGCCCCTCGGCCCAGCTCCTGCCCCCTATAGAAGGTGACCCATGGCAGCTGAGGAGGGAGGGGAGGCTGGGTGGTGAGCCTTGGGAAGGACATTCCCCCACCACCCTGACTGTGTCTCGTTAGATTTTGCAGAGCTAAACCACTTTCGGGATTGGTACTGAGGATGGAGGCTCCTTCATTAGAGATCTCCCCTCCCTTTCCTGAGGGATTCTCACTCGCGCAAATGTATCTGATAGGGTCTGCTTTTAACTGAGAAGTCAGGGAATGATGTTTGTGGCACTTCTCAGTGATTCGAAATGGCCTGTTTCTATTTTTACCTTTAAAAATGTCTACCATGGGGACTGGGAGGATCCGCCATACAGGCATCTTTTGGTATTCTCAGGGGACTGATTCCAGAAACCCGTCCATACCAAAATTCATGAATACTCAAGTCCCTTATATAAAATGCACGTCCTTTAAATCATCTCCAGATTACCAATAATCCCTATGCAGTGTAAATGACTTGCGAATGGTTGCTATATTTAAAAAAAAAATTTATTATTGTTCTGGTTGGGGTTTTTTGTGTTTTTTTTTTTTTTTTTTTCTCCAATTCGTGGTCCATTGAATCCACAGATGCAGAGCCTCGTATGTGGAGGGCCAACTGCTGACGCAGTCAGGAAGGGGATGCCGGGTGAGAGAGTGGCTGGCCATGGTAGGAGACAGGGAGTGTTGAAAGCTGTGGCAACCGGGAGGCTAAATGTCGGACAGCACGTGACATTCGGCCTTTCCCTCGGTGGTGCGGCGGGGTCTGGACTACCCGACCTCCCCACCGACCCCATGGGAAATCCTGGCCTCTCGGAGTCTGAGCGCCACGGAAGTAAAGCTTTGGTTTCCCCTCCGTGGCTGCACCTGGCTCAGCAGGTGGGGCGTGGGGGAGTAGGAGGCCGGCTCTTCCTTCTACCTGATAGTCAGCAGAAGCAAGCACAGGGCTGCACGAACCCCTTTAAGGCAGTGACTGCAGAAAGCCCCAGCTGTGGGCGCTTTGAAGTCTTAAGTGCAGGGGGTGCAAAGACGGCACATGGGAAGCCGTGGACTCCCAGGGTGGCGAGAGAGAGGAGGAGGAGAGACACTAGACTTGGAGGCGAAGATCTAGACTGTTCCCAGTGCTGCTTCCAGCAGCTCTGTGACCTTGGGCCAGCCAGTTCCCTGCCCAGACTCATTTCCTCACTGCAAAACAGCGACTAATAGCACTTACTTAGTAGGGCTGAAGGATTGCTGAGATCAGCCAAAGTACCTTGAAAGAGACCAAACCAAAAGGCAAATAAATTATAAAGTATCTCCAGATCAAGGTTGAAGGCGCTGGGGCTGGCAGGTGGCATGGTGGTTAAGGTGCTGGATTTCCACATGGTTGACCGAGGTTTGAGTTCTGGGCCTGGTGGCTGGCTTTCTTCCTTTCCCTTCTTCTCTATCTATTAAAAAATAACAAATAAATAAATAAATAATAGTTTAATAAAAAAGGTTGGGACTGGCAGGTGGCATGGTGGTTAAGGGCACTGGATTCCCACATGGCCAACCTCAGTTCAAGTCCCGGACCTGGCAGCTTGCTTTCTCTCTCTCTCTCTTTCTCCCCTACCCTGGTAAAATTGAAACAAATAAAAACATAAAGTTAAATAAAATAATTCTTTTTTTTTTTTTAAAGGTTGAAGGCTGTGGAGGGGAAGCTCCCTGCCTCTTACCATCACTGGGAAGGAGGCTGGGTGTTCAGAAGCTGCTCAGATGTCAGGGGCAGGGAGCTGGCTGAGTTTGTGCCACTGAGGAAGACTAGCAGGAGCAGACCTGCTCGTGAACATAGTAAGCTGAGGTGATGGAGGCAGAAAAACTGTTTCTTCCTGGTAAAGGCCCAGAGAAGTCATGGGCAGAGGGAGGATATAGGGCCAGTACTGCTTACTCCTAGCTCCCTCTCCTGGTCTCCACAGGCCTCTGGGTGAGGGCACACATGCCACCCATGCCTCTGCCATCAGCTGCAGACTGGGGCACTGTGAGCAGCCAGCTCTAGACAGCCCCTGGCCACAATCTTGCAGTGCAGCCTGATGGCCTGTCCTCATGTGCTGGCCTCAGGGCCAGTAGCACCCCATAGCTCAATGCAGTGGTACCCCAGAGGTCACTGGCAGTAAGGACATCATTTGACCCTATGTGCATCTGTTAGCTGCTTGAAATAGGAGACGTGAGTTCAGCTCCTAGCTCTGTCCTCATCTGTAAATTGAGTTTAATTAATTCAGTGTCTTAAACTTTTCATGGATAGACCCCTAGGAAAATCTGATGTAAGCTGTAGACTCTTGCTCCAAGAAAAATATACCAAAAAAGTTCAAGGAATTTCTACATCTCCTGAAGCCCTCCCCCAAATCTTTCAGGGTGTCTTGAGCCTGATCTAGTTGACCGTAAGTTTCCTGAAAGCTCCAAAGATTTTCTTCCTCTTTTTTGTTCAAATAATTACCTACTCAACCTTATTAATTATTATTATTATTATTATTTTAATTTGCCATAGGGCATATACACCCACCAGAAAGAGAGAAAGGGGAAAAGTGAGAAAGCAAGCCATCAGGTCAGGACTCAACTCTCAGTCAGCCACGTGTGAGTCCAGCGCCCCTACCATCATGCCACCTTCCTCCTAACTCTGACTCTTCCTTAAAGGGAACGCTGGGACTGAGGGGCCTGCTGCAGTAAGCATGTGGGAGCATGGGAAATAGAACAGGCTTCAGGAGCAGAAATTAACTGGCAAGATCAAAGCACACTGCAAGTGGCCAACAGTGAGCTTTTAGTCAAGCAAGTCTGCTCCATGGCTAACGAGGCGGAGTGGTGGCCAGCACTGATAAAAAGTTCTCTGTCTATGCTGAGTGCTACGCTGAGGCTCCGTGTCCAGGGCCAGAGGAGGGCTTTCAAAGTAATGAGAAGCTGGGAACAGGCTGCATCCCTGACACACAGAAGATGAGCCCCTGAGACCGGAGGGACGGCCTATCTGCTGCAGCATAACCACTCCAATCGCCAGGCCCCTCTTGCAGTCTGTGTCTTCTAGGTGTGGGAAGCCAAATCCTATGTCTGGAGGTACCTTCCTTCCTTTCTTTCCTCCTTCCTCCCACAAATACGTATTTTGTGCCTACTGTGTGCTGTTCTAAGTGCCAGAATGATAGAAGTGAACAAAAGAAAGGGAAAGACAACTGTCTTCATGGAGGTCGTGGTCTAGTGGGAGAGAAACGTGAAGTACGTAGATGTTGATGGTGATAAATACAAGGAGACTTCAAAAATTTTGTGGAAAATAGAATTGAGGTATGAGTTTATTTTGGTATAAAAATTGTTTGAAATCCATGCTTTTTTCTTTTTTACATAACATACACTTCCATGAACGTGTTTTAAAAACATTGCCAGAAGGTACATGTATGTGCCAGAGAGAGATAGAAGGTGGGTGGAGGCAAGGAAGCTCTCCATCACGGGAGGGCCAGAGGGGAGCCACGACGCCATCCTTCCTCCATTCTCTATCCTTTGGGGATTTGAAGCATGCATGCACACATGCCCAGCATGTTTTTCAAGCTGCTACGTCTGGGACTGGAACCGTGCAGTTGGCCATGTGGGATCCAGCCACCTTAACCATCAGGCCACTGGGTGACCCCTCCAAGAACTTCCCAAATATCCCTCAGACTATAACAAAAGTATTGCAGGGAGGGGACAGAAACCACTGGGGGTAGAAAACAGGCAAAATTCCTGTTTCTAGGAGGACATTCAATGGAATCCTCACTAATGAGGTGATACTTGAGCAGCAACTTAAAATGAGAAAGTAGTGAATGGAGATATTTGGGAGGAATGTTTTTCTATACAGAGGGAAAAAGTACAAAGGCCCTGAGGCAGGAGAGTGCCTTATGGATTGGAGCCACCTCCAGCTCAGTGAGCGGCATATTATTAGGATTTGGGTCAAAGAGTTAACAGACTTAGTTTGACTCTGAGACAGATAGTCGCCAGTGCAGGATGTTGAATAAGGGCTGATGTGTAGGTTTTAAGGATTTTTCTGACTATCGTGTGAAAAATAGACCAGAAAGACAGGGAGAAACAGAGACAGAAAGTGTGAATTCACCTCCCAGGGGGTATGGCCACACCACAATCCCTTCTCCATTCTCTTCTCGGGATCTTGGGCATGCACGCACACACACCCGGTGTGAATTTAAGCCACCAGGTCTGGGACTCAAACTGTGGTCGACTACATGGGAGTCCAGCGACATAGCCATTATGCCAACTGCTGGTCCCAAACCAGAGGTGGTTACCAGGAGGCTGCAATGAAGTGAAAGAGGATTAAGGGATCTGAGTGAGTATGCAAGGAGGTGAGTATGATGACCATTGACTCCAAGGTGAGTAGGGAAGAAAGCCATCTGCTGGTCCCTCCATAAACTTTTTTAAGTGTGTGTGTGTATGTGTCCTATGACTGTGTTAATGTGTACATGTGAGCACATGCATGAGTGTGCTTATATAGGTATGCAAGTGTGTATATAACGTGAGAGGAGTGCTAGACAGTGAAAGGGGTAGGATAATGGGTAACAGATCTCGGAGGTGCGGAAGGATTGCTGGTGTTGGAGCATTAGAGGACATGAGCTCAAGGGATAGGGATTGTATTAGGTTTTACTGGTAATAGTTGAGGGGAGGGACCAGCAGGTGGCATGGTGGTTAAGGTGCTGGACACTCCCACATGGCTGACCACAGTCCTGGACCTGGTGGCTTTCTCTCTCTCTCTCTCTCTCTCTCTGGTCAAATTAAAATAAGTTAATGAATAAATGAAATTATTTTTAAAAATAGTTGAGGGGAAAAACAGACATCAGAAGCAATAGATGTGTATTTCCTGGTAGCATAAGTGCCAGGGTCCAGCCTCGGCGTGGGTGGGTTATCTCGACGAAGGCGGCAAAGGTGAACAGAAGACAGAGGCCTCGATGCCTTTTCATGCACGTCCTATGCCGGACACCCCTCAGAGGTCGCCCTCTGAGGAGTGACCCAAGCTTTGTTCCAAGGTCGGGGGGC